CCTGAAGATAGAAGAGTTTGTTGAATCTGACGTGACATGTTCGTACGAACCCTTTGTACGAACAAAAGTAAGAGAAATTTAGGAGAAGAATACGTTCATGTTCTTACATGAGGCCCAATGTTTCTATTATCTGCTCTATAAGCTATCATTGTTTCATTTCTTCAACTTGACCAAAAGATGTCAGTGTTTGTTACTAACTGCCTCTTTAATCAAAACACTGCTTTCTGAGACATTTACTCAACAAATTACGAACCAAAGTATGTGTCAAAGCCCCGGCGTGTAGGCAGGCAGTCCTTCTTGTACATGCCCAGGTGCCACTTGCCCACCATGTGTGTGTCGTAGCCCGCCTCCTTCATCAGCTGAGGCAGCAGCTTCTCGTCCAGAGGGACGCAGTACGGCTGACAGGGCCAGATGATCCAGTGCTGCATGCCCGTGTGGATCTGAGGGGAGTGACCACAACAGATGGTTGGAAAACAAATATGATGCGTTGAAAATGAAGCAAAGAGGGAACCAACTGCACATGTGGTGATAATGGCTCAACATTACAAAACATTAGTCCTGAGAAGAGGTGTGTGTCTTCTTCCTTTTCCCATCAATATCCAAATTAGACTTTGTTTATTAAAATGTGTACGTCACAAACACACAAACATCATAACACCAGAAACAGTTGTGTAAAGGGGAAACACATTGTTCCCTTGTTCCAAGCTATTTCTGATGTTATTTTAACTTATTATTTTGTACTTCATAAAATTCAATCAGTTAAACGTAAAATGATTTTATTCCCAGTCTTTTGAGAAAAATATGTAAATAAGCAACAACTTCCCCTTTTAAAGAATAAATCAGTTTTATAGAATTTTAAAGTATAGCTAATTATCCTGACTAACTAGCAAGTCACTTAAAGCATTCTTAAACTAAAAAAGTCACAAACTACAACGTAGTTTTAGTTTGAAGTGAATCAGTCCATTTTTGCTTGTGTAAATTACACAACCACAATTTCTAAAAAAGTCAGGAAGTTGTGTAAAATGTAAACAAAAACAGAGTGCAAAGATGTGCAAATAAACACATTTTAATCACAATAGAATAACATAACATACTAAATGTTTACATTAAAAAGTGCCCCCTCAAATAATTTAAATGACCATATTTCATATTATCGTCTCCAAAAAAGTGTCGACATGGGGAAGAAAAGTTTGTAAATGATAAGTAGAAATTCACATGTCTATAAAACTGCAGCTAAAATACTTCACAGGAACTGATCATTATCTGACTGACTGAGCAAACAAACAAACAAACAAACAAACAAACAAACAAACAAAGAAGTGCTTCAGGCATGTTTCTGAATCAGTGACTTTATGAATCAAACGGAAATGAGTTCTGACACCGGTGTCGAGTCTCACCTGGTACCTCCCGGTCATCAGCTGGTTCCTGGAGGGGGTGCACACCGGCTGAACATAGTAGTTCTCCAAGCGGACTCCTTTGGCCGACAGCCGGTCCAGGTTCGGGGTTCTGATCTCTGAGCTGTGGTAGCCCACATCGAACCAGCCGAAGTCATCGGCCAGGATGAAGACGATGTGCGGCTGCCGAGCCGCCGAACCCGCGGGTAAGTTAACGACGAAAACTGCTGCGACGATCCCGTAAATCAGCCTAGTCATTATTCTGACCATTCTGACGGCAAGGACATCAACAGAACCGAGACCGAACCAGACGTAACTGGAAACTAAACGAAAATGTAAACACCTCTCACACGATTCACTTCCTTGTTCCGCAAAATTAAAAATATTGCCCAGAGACCTCAGCCAATCAGATGACTGAAAGGTGTCACGTGTTATGTGAAAACCCGGATGTAAATAATTTTTTTTTGTAAATCTTTATTTGAACCATTAAATAACAACACATTACAGTGTAAATGACACAAAAACAAGAAACCACCAGGGGGAGCATAACTTAAAATGTGATAAAAGGTAAAAAAAAAAATAACTAACAACACATTATTCTTCCATAAAAAACGCAAATAAATACATAGATTAATAAAAAGTAATAATAATAATTGTAAAAAACAGGTGCCAGAGAGCCTCAAGTTAAAACCAGTTAAAGCAACAAATCATCCAAAATCCCATGTTGGGAACAAGCCCATGTTGTTGTTATGGCTTTTTGATGTGTAGAAGGCCTAATTCTAATCATATTCTGTTTAAGCTCAATCAAAAAAAAAAAAAAACAGAAAATTTTGGTTTTATTTTCAAACGTTGCATTTGTGTAAGTGAAATTTAGCCATGATGATTAATAAATTGATAAAGAAGACACTTGGATTCATTTTTCCAGTCTGTTGAAGTCCAAACAGAACGTGTTTCCAAAATAACTGAAATCCTGTTGATATTTTTGAGTCAACGTAGTTAAAAATATGTTGCTAAAATACTTTAGAATAAGAACACATCCAGAACAAATGAGTGGCAGTCTCTGAGCAAACATCACAAAACGTACAGTTTACAGCGATGTTAGAGTTGAACTTGTTTAGGTGGTCTTCAGCAGGGTAAATTCTGTGTAAAAGTTTGAAGGTCACTTCTTTTATCTTGTTAATGAGAAGAAAGTGTTTAGTGAGCAACCAAGTAAATTTGTACCGGATGTACATAAATATGTGGTCCAAAATAAGGATCGAAACATGAGTCAGAAAAATTAAATGTACAATTAATACCAGTAAACAGATAAAATATTTATAATAATTTACATAGTCATAAGTATATAATGTGTCAAATTTGGAAGAATAAATAGCAAAAACAAGGAAGGTGTGATTTAAAATTTTTACTTTGAGATTCACAGAAAGTCTGTTCAAACTCAGAATGACTTGTTTGAGTACAAGGTGTGGCATTTAAAATTTTTATTTTAAATTCTGGAAGCTCTGCAGATTTGAGTTTTGTATCATGTTAGTGGTGTGTGATTTTTTATTTTTTAATTATTTTTGTAAAATGTTGCCTTCCAAGGCCAGAATGTGCCTCTAAATACAAATACTTTGTTACTGTACTACTTAAGTAGAAATTTTGTTTATCTGTACTTATACTTTACCTGAGTAATTATTTTTCAGCCAATTTTTACTTCTACTCTTTTTCACACAATTATCTGTACTTTATACTGCATATATTTTTAAAAAGTTAAACAGAAAATCATTACTTATATTGTATTTCACTTGTTTTCATTCCATCTTGAAAGAAGATTCGGGCCACTGAAAGAACACTGTGTCAGAGTTTTTTTCAGTGATCCTAATCCTCTTATATTTAGACCAGTGCATCAATTTTTTTAACAATAACTTTTTAATGCAACATTATATCATTTTCACCTTCAGGAAAAAGTTTTGTAGGTAGGTCACCTCCCAATAAATGTCATTTTGACCACTCACGTTTACTCAATACATTTGATACTTAAGTGCAATAAAATATCAGATACTTTAAGACTTTTACACAAGTAATATTTTAAGGAGAAGCTAAAGCAATTTTATGGTAAGATACCTGTACTTTTACTCAAGTATCATTTTGAGGTACTTTACACAAGACTCTGCCTCTTCAATATTTTAGTTATTACTCATATCAAAACAATCGATATCTCAGTACATGTACAAAATCCTCTTTAAGTGTACTTTTTTGTGATAGTATTTTAAAAATGTTAAGTTGATACAGTAAGTTAAAGTTTAAATACTAGTATACAGTAAGTTAAAGTTAAATACTAGTATAAGTTACCTGGTGGTATACACACTGTGTACCTAGTATTTAAGCGGTGCTTACAGAATACATATCTGGTACAGTTTACATATCTGTTGCATACCAGTCTGTCTTGATACCAATATTTCCATATATCTAAATGTTATTGTTATTAACACAATCTATACTTTTTTATATCAAAAAAGCTGAACTGAACAGTAACACAATGAATGAGGTTATCAAGCTACTACAATACTTCCAATTCCATTGCATTATTTAAACAAAAAAATGTACAAAAAAATACAACTTTTCACAGGTTAGTAAACAATTACGGTAGTTTCTTTTGGTTATTACATGTTTAAGTACTTTATTGTATTTGTCACAATTACAAAGTGCCTCAATATAAAGAGAGCAGCAGCATGATTTTGTCCACGAAGCACCAAAGGAAATATTGATCTTTCTTCAGACCACAGCTGACCTGTAAACCTTTAACTTTTGTTCATAGAATCACAAAAAGCCAATTACTCTGAGGTACATGAACGTCACACAAGGACAGTTAAAAATCCTCTGAATGGTGTTACACAAAATTGTTTCCAGTCTCCTTTTTATCAGGAGTTTTCTTATTTAACATTTTCTTTCAGCTCGACTGGCCCCTGTTCTGCAGGCACAAGCAGTTCAACGTGAAGAACGCTCCAGCCTCTGGTCTGTAATTCACAGAAGGATGTTAAGCTGCAGACAGCAAACGTGTAGACGACTTGAACTAAGCTTTGGTTTTTCCTGTCTTCTGCAGCCGGGTCCGTGTGGGCTCAGTGAGGACTAAAGGCTCCTGAATGACCGTGGCCACGTACTTCCTGTCCAGCAGCTCCACCTCCACTTTCTGTCCCACAGAGCACAGCTCCAGGGGCAGGTAGCCGAACGCCAGGCTCTGCTGGCTGCTGTAGCTGTAGGCTCCAGATGTTGTGTTTCCCACAACCTGAGGAAGAGAGAAAAAAAAACTCCTTATCAATAAGAAGACCAAAATGAAACTAGAAATGAGCCTGTGACCTTATTTTACCTTTCCATTGTGCCAAATGGTCTCGTTGCCTTCAGGGTCAATATTGTCTGTGTCAACTGACATGTAGGACAGTTTTCTCTTCAAACCCTTGGCTTTGATCTCCTGAAGCGCTGCTTTGCCAATAAAGTCAGCGGGCTGCTCAAAGACGAGCACAAACGGCACCTTTAAGTTTTGATCTTATGACCAATCATTTAAACATGAACAGCTGAATGATACCTTACGGAAGCGTAGAGCTGTCACATGAATGAAATTATTTTTGAACTGGATCCTTGTTATAACAAGAAAACTATCTCGTTATAATGAGAAAAATATCTTGTAAAAACGAGAAAACTATCTTGTAAAAACGAGAACACTATCTTGTTATATCAAGATAAACATCTCGTTATAAAGAGAAAAATATCTCGTTATAATGAGAAAACTATCTCGTTATAATGAGAAAACTATGTCGTTATAATAAGAAAACTATCTCGTTATAATGAGAAAACTATCTCGTTATAATGAGAAAACTATCTCGTTATAATGAGAAAACTATCCCGTTATAATGAGAAAACTATCTTGTAAAAATGAGAAAAATATCTTGTTATATCAAGATAAACATCTCGTTATAATGAGAAAGCTATCTCATTATAAAGAGAAAACTATCTCGTTATAATGAGAAAACTAACTCGTTATAAAGAGAAAAATATCTCGTTATAATGAGAAAACTATCTCGTTATAAAGAGAAAAATATCTCGTTATAATGAGAAAACTATCTCGTTATAATGAGAAAACTAACACGTTATAAAGAGAAAAATATCTCGTTATAATGAGAAAACTATCTCGTTATAAAGAGAAAAATATCTCATTATAATGAGAAAACTATCTCGTTATAAAGAGAAAAATATCTCATTATAATGAGAAAACTATCTCGTTATAAAGAGA